CCGGGCGGAGCTACCCTTGTCGCAGACAGACAAGCAACCCTCGTCAAGGCCGGATAGAACAATCCTCATCGTAGCCGGATGGAGCAACCCTCGTCGTGGCCGGCGGAGCTACCCTCCTCACTGCCGGAGGACAGAGCCACCCAAGCCCACGGCTACCTTCACCATGAAGAACTAGGTAAGTGCTCCAAGCACCTATATTTGTTTATACAGACCGGTTTCTATGGCTCGTGCTCATAATCATTTCTAGCGAAGGTCTGCCAGGTGCTAGGCACGAACGTCCATCAGGTGCCCGAGCCGGTTTACAAAGGTGCTGTGATCCGCGCGAAGCTGGCTCCTGAGGATCTGCCGCCTATGGAGATGCGCGGGCCTCCACTTTTCTGCCCAGATAAGAAACCCGGCTACTCCTTCAAATTTGTGCAAAAAATAAATAAATAAATAAACAAAGTTTACATGTATATCACACCATTGTCACTTACAGCCTATACTCGTGATTCGCGAGTGGCCATGGTATTTTTGAAATAAACTGAATTCATTTAGAGAGCTCTTACTAATGGTTGCATGAGTGAGCCTAGTCGTGCGTGTCGTTTGCACCTCCGCATGACATATAAATTCCAAACCATATACCTGTTTCGTTCCATAGGGTAGTACCCACGAACAAAAACAAAGACTTCTAAACTAATTACAACACTAACCTTTGGTGCACATGCACCACTTTCGGACTGGAGCATGTTACCTGCGGCTCTGCTCTGTGCATGCTCTTATCAAGTATGCTCTTCAGGCTAAACCTTCGTGTTTGTTCAAAGGATCAACCATCTTTGCAGGATTAAAACCCTCACTGAGAGTATCTCATACTTATTCGTGACTGTCATCTTGTGACTAGCACCGTATCCTCAAAACCAAATGCACAACCACCTTCGCTGAAAAACTCACGCTCCTCCTAGCCAAAATGCCCCCGTCGACCTCGATAACCATTGGCCTGGGGCAGCCTCCGGCCCGAGCAGCAACGTCGTCCGGGCTCGAACCACCATCGGCAGTCCGCGCAGCACCAGCTCAGGACGTCGTCGCACCTTATTCATCCAAGTGTCCAACAGGACACCGTCAGAATCGACCCTCATGCGTCGGCCACAACTTCGCAAAGGTTCTCCATCCTCAATAGCTTTCCTTCAATGAGCTCAGCCGACGGGTGCAGGAGCTCCGCACCTGGCCGGGGCTACAGCCCACCATGCATCGCGAAGGTGCACGCATGAGCGCGCTCGAAGCCCCGCCGCTCAAGCAACGGGACTAGCAGTTAGAGCTAATCCCCACTGATGACTACGGTTCAGACGCGGATGCAACAGCCAGTTGGTCCACAAGCATGATGATCAAAAGAAAGAAAGAAAAAAGAGAGAGGAAAAAAAATCCTGAACGCTGGATCTCCAGGCGGAGGTCCACCCTCCACTTACTCTCTGCGCGTTGGGCCGCCCTCGTCCGCTGCCTGCAAATCACCTTATTAGGCCATCCTTCGTCCTCGGCCGATCGTCACCTTTGTCGTAAATCGACTTCCATCTATGCTCGACAAAACGAGGGTGAGGCTAGAAGATATATATCCTAAACAGCAGACCGGCCCCTCGCAACTGGCCCAGGGAATTGTTACCTCCGCCTCTACGAGGTCAAGCTTAGGCCCAGGGATCTGCCCGTCTTAGTCCTTCGCCTTGCCACGAAGTTGTCAAGCGTCCATGAGAAAGAAAGACCCTCATCTGCCCATGCGTCCTCCACCGCGCGAGCGGAGCAAGCCGCCGGCTGTGCGCCGTGCATTCTCTGTTTCGCTCCTTCTAGCCTGATCATCAATTCATCATCATGACGTCACATCTAAATATGGCCGTTTTCCTATAGAAAAAAAACAAGAAATACACATATACATACACTCCACCACGCGAGTTCCAGCACCCAGTTTCAGTCTCCGCCCGTAGCTCCGCTGGCTGTTTTGGCTTAGCTAGACCGGCCTGTCTCAACAAAAACAGGCCTCTCGGCTAGGCCAGCTCATGCGAAGCTCGGGTTGGCCCCTGCTGATCCGCAAATGTTGTATGTGTGAGATAAACACTTCGATGGCTCCTCTAAATTAACTGATAAAAAAAAACCTTCGCTGTAGTTTGGACCCGTGGAGTTCATGAGTCCGTCAGCGTCTTCTGGCAAATGGCCCCCGAACGCCTGCGTCCGTCCAAGTACACCCACACCGGTCCAATACCTCCGTCCTGGCCCGAGCCAACCTCGGCCTTCCAGCGCCCGCTACACCATGAAGCCTAGCACCCCAAGCGGTCGAAGGTCTTAGCCGGCCCTTCGAGCCCCTGTGGCAGCCAAGCGAAGAACCATCCACCCATCGTGAATTCTAAGTATAAAAATCAGTGTCATGGGCGGGCTTCGAACCTGCCCTATAGTACTCCAACTTTAAAGCTTTGCCAAGCATTCTGTTGCACATCTATTTGTGAAGTTACTTTGTAAATTTCCACCAAGGGCGAAGTGCAGGTCGACAAACTTCCATTGAAAAGATGGTGAATAGACAACAGATGAGTTCACATGAGGGACATTCTCACTCGGAAGTGTAGGCTGACAACTTTCCAATAAGCTTTTTTGGTTTTGCAGCTCAAAAACCTCATTGCTCTTACCCTCTCTGGTTTCATACATATCAAAACATTTGCACCTATCTCAATCACCTTTACGAGCGACTACCACTCAATACCTTCGTACGAAAGTTTAAAAACAAACTAACAATTGTGCTAACCTTCGTCTTGCAAGGCAATACCTCTATATTATTGCAGGTCTCTACACTTCATTCAAGGTAATGAACTTTTAACACCCAAAACTTACCACACTTAATCAAACAATATATCATATCTTTGTCACAGTGATCATACCTTCGCTTATCTCGTGCTTCAAACTTCTTACGTCCCATATGTGAAAAAATTTATACTATATGCTGCTTTGCAGGATTCCCCTTCGGCAACACTCCACAAGTTTTATGTGGTTACAAGTTATTGAAATACTTACATAGACTAATCCATAATTATCAAATATCCTTTCAGTTTCATCTTATTTTTCAGAGACCGAATCACCAGTTCTGAATCTCTCAGACATATAGTCATGCCCTAAATATCACATTTCTTGAATGCTCGGCTTACCTTCGCACTTATCGAGCATTTCGCATAAATGCATCAAACACATTCATCATACCATCGCATTGCATGATCATGTTGCATACCAAACCTCACTTCGCACTCCGAAAGACAAAGAAGGACGAAGAGGGAGGTCACAAAAAAGCACCCTCGCTAACGATAACGCAAGGGGCTCACCACAACCAAACCTCACTTCGCCCTCCAAAATACAAAGGAGGACGGAGAGGGACGTCACAACAAGATTCTTTGATGAAATCGATATATGAAAATAACTTTGTTTTGCAGAGCTATGTGTTTGCACGTAACTTTTGCAAAGCAAGTCGAATGTTTCTCTCGAAATCTTATCCACTTCACAATACTTATGAGATTCCCTTGTACTCCTTCGCTACGCCTACAAGGGAAACTCCTCGACCAGCGAAAATAAAAGAAAAACATGAGCTTCATCAACATCAACAATACCTTCTCCAAATAGTTTGGAGAAGGAACCTTCATCGTCGACTCCGGCGACTTCAACGAACCTTCTCTAGCATTATTGAGAAGGAACCTTCGTCATCAGCTTAGGCGACTTCAATGAACACTCTCCAAACTTTCTGGAGAAGAAACCTTCGTCATCGACTTCAGCGACTTCAACGAACCTTCTCTAGTAATTTGGAGAAGGAACCTTCATCATCGACTCCAGCGACTTCAAACCTTCTCCAATATTCTGGAGATGGAACCCTCGTTAATGACTCAGGCGACTTCACTCTTCACGACCATTTATCATCTGCATGCCCATCAGATATCACAAAGGTGCGGCCGTCGTATAGGCTCAGCGTAGGCTTACACCATATATCCTGTGTCCATCACTCTTCACGACCTTCACAGGTACGGTACTTGTAGTGTTGTTATTACACTGCAAGAGATCTAGTGTATGGATGGAGAGTGAAATTACGATGTGATGAACAGTGAAGTTCACCATCACAAATAAAATCGAGACTCATTCGTCAGGCAGCTGGCAAACATAGAGCGATATAGACTCCTTAGCATCAATTCCAAGGACGATCGAGATCGTTTTTGACTTGGCCCTTGCGTGCACAGGCAAAGGATTGGATAACAATTACACGTGTGTGTGGCTGTGTGCTATAGTTGAGTTCATTGCGTGTAAACGAACGTAAGCTACTTAATTGAGCTTGTAACACGTGTATGCAGCATGTGCTATATATGTATAGTTGTGTTCGTTGCGTGTAAAAGAACCTCAGCTACTTAATGGATCTTTTCTTGTGGTGTTACTCATTCCACCAATCAAAGAATACAATTCTAGTAAAATACTAAGTTAAAATATCTCAAATTTATAACTAACTATATAGAAAGAATATAAATAATTACGATATAAAATCAGTATCATTGAATTTCTCATAAGATATATTTTCATAATATACTTATTTGAAACATAAACGTTAATGGTTTTATCCTATACATTTGATCAACGACCTTTAAACACTTCAGTAAAAATACATCTAGAATTGTATTTTTTTGAGCCCAAAACAGTAATATAATCCTTCCCTTATCTAGTAATATAATAGTTACTCAGCTAGCAACGACTTCTTTGATGTGACAATCATCAGCTAACCGTATATTCACATTTGACTTTGTAAGGGGATCAAACAACAAGCCATGCAAGCAACTCCTACATGCATGTGTGCTCTTCTGCCATCCATATATATGATCATCAGTTCATCACCCTAACCAATGACCATTACATGCATACATGCAAAATCCCTAGTATGCCAACAAAGAAACTACTATTAGCACCAAGAAAACAAAAATCGCCTCCTTCAACGAGCACAATTAAGCTGCTGAGACTGATCCACGATGCTGCCCCGTGGCGCCATTGATAAAAGCATCAGCCACATCCTGGGCGGGGTGTTGTTCTCAGGCCTCGGCCTGTGGCATCTCTTCAACCACATCCGGCTCTTCGTCTCCCTTGCCCCGACATCCTCCTCATCGTACGTCGCACCGGCGTGGTTCCCGGCACCACGGGTCCGCCACCTCGAGCTCATCGTCATGCTCGCTGGCGGCATCTACGGGTTCGCCACCCAGATGCTGGCCTACTCGCCGATGCCGTTCCGCGCCGACGGCTCCATCCCGCCGGAGCGCCTGCCCAACCACGAGCACGCCATCATGTACGCCTCGCTCCTCGTCTACGCCGGCTCCGCCATCTACCTCGACCGCAACCGCTCCTCCCACCGCCGCCGCCACACGACGCTCTGTATGCTCCTCCTGGCGGCGCTCTTCGCGCAGGAGCTGTTCGTGTTCCACGTCCACTCCACGGACCACGCGGGCGTCGAGGGCCGGCTCCACTGGTTCCTGCAGGCCGCCGCCGCGGCCTGCCTCGCCACCGCACTCCTCGGCGCCGGCGCCGGCGGCCTTCCCGCGGAGCTTCAGTTCGCGGTGAGCCTCGTCCGGTCCGCGTCCCTCGCGTTCCAGGGGCTGTGGGGCGTCGTGATCGGCGTCGCGTGGATCCCCGGGATGGCTCCCAAGGGTTGCTCCCTCGACGACGGTGGCGTCAACCTTCGCTGCCACGGCGAGGACAGCCTGCGACATGCTGTGGCTGTTGTAAACCTGGAGTTCGGATGGTGCGTGGTCCTCATGACGGTGTTCGTCCTCGGGCTTTACATGTACGTGTGCAGAAAGTATCCAGCTGGGTCTGGGGAGGTATACGGGCGGCTGCCGGATGCGGAAGCGGAAGCTGCAGACGAGGACGACGACCACCACGACATGAAGACACGCAACTGTAAGCAGGCGGTGCACGACGTGCATGAGTTCACGTCCATGGAGATCGAGGTCTAACGGCAGCAAATCGTGTGTGTCTATACACAACGGCCGTTCCGTCGGCCTATATATGGATGGATGTATTTGGGTACTGGACGTTCTTTCTTAATTGAGGTGAATGCATGCATGCAGTGTCTCTTTCAGTCTTTGTGTCACTCGGTGAGATTTATTATTTACTGAATTATTATACATCTTGTTCCCAAAAGAAAAGAATTATTAAACATCTTCAAGCTAAGGTTTATATATTCCAAGTATCTCCAAAAAAACAATCCAAGAAACAAAATATCATTATTATAAACACTAGTCTGTCAACCTGTGCTCTGTACGGCAGGTCTAGAACCTTATGACACATAAGCATAGTTATTACTATTTAATACAACTAACTAACAAAAAATTCTTAATTTTGTATTAAATTTTATGTTTTATGTCTGTTTATTTTCTAAATTCATGTTTTTTCTTGCATATTCATGGTCTTTTTTCCTTTGCATGCACCTCTCTGTGTATGTTACATATGTATTTAGTTAAAGCTTTAGCTTAAACCACTACCGGAATCCTCAAATTTGCCGAGTGTTTTTATATTTGCCGAGTGTATTCCCTCGGGCATTCGGCAAACAAGTTCTTTACCGAGTGCTACGCTAAAAACACTCGGCAAAATCGAAGGTTTGCCGAGTGTCAAGCTAAAATCACTCGGCAAAGAGGGGTTTGCCGAGTGTTTTTTTTTTGCACTCGGCAAAGAAATAATTTTTTTTCTGGAAATGAAGGAGAAGAAAAAAAAATAAAAAAAACTTTAACGAGTGCTCAGACGCAGAACACTTGGCAAAAAAATTTTCCTATAACTCCGCCCGGCCCCTCCTTCCTCCTCCTCCAAATCCACGGCCTCTCCTCTCTCTCTCCAAATCTGCCAGACGCCCTCTCCCTTTCTTGACCCGCCCCCTCCTCCCCTCCAAATCCAATCCACCGCCCTCCTCTCTCCTCCAAATCCACCGCGCCCTCTCTCCCTTTCTCCGGCCGCGGGGCCCTCCTCTCTCCTCCAAATCCGAATCCGCCGCGCGCCCCTCCTCTCTCCTCCAAATCCGCCGTGCGCCCCTCTCCCTCACCTTTCTTCCCCGGATCCGGCCACCGCACCGCCCCTCCTCTCCCTTTCTCCGGTAGGGACCCCGCCCCTCCTCTCCCTTACTTCGGCTGCCGCCCCGCCCCTCCTCTCACCTTTCTTCCCCAGATCTGGCCGTCAGACCCCTCCTCTCTCCTTTCTCCGTGGGGACCCTCCCCTCCCGCTTCCCATTCCCAGCGTGGCCCCTCCCCTCCCGCTCCCCACCAACGAGATCCGACGGTCCCCCTCCCCTACCTTCTTCCCCGGCGCGGCCCCTCCCCTCCCGCTTCCCGTTCGTCGGCGCGACCCCTCCCCTCCCGCTCCCCACCAGCGAGATCCGGCGGCCGGTGCCGCCCCCTCCCTCCCTCCCCCAACCACTACACCACAACACCAAGATTAGTGATGGATGGTCTGACGCTAAAAAGTTATAGCGACAGACTTCTGCAGACGCTGTAAGTCCTGTCGCTAAAAATCTTTAGCGTCAGACAGTACTTTTAGCGTCAGATAGTCCGTTGCCCTGAAATTTTTTAGCGATAGATAGTCTGCTGCTACTTTTTAGCGACAGATAGTCCATTGCTACTTTTTAGCGACGGACTATGCGATGGTACATATGGTTTTAGCAACAGATAGTCCAACGAGACAATTTTAAATGGTTAAAAAAAATAAAAATTAATCCATCAACAATTGTCCACAATAATACAAATGTCACTACACAACTAAGATTCAACTTCAACAAACATACATGCATCTTCACAAATTTGACCAAAACTTTACAACAGCTCACATAGATAAGCTCACCATCTCATCTATTTCCTCTAGAGACAATAAGAACATCCTTCAAAACATAATGATTATAAGAAGGGACAAGAATGTCTTCCCAGTCGCCATTCCTTTTAAAACATAAGATGAAACAAATAGTTTATATGCAACAATGACAAGTCCAAAACATTACATAAGAGCAAATAATTTTCTCACCGCAAGTCAATCAGCTAAAAATTCATGCCAAACATTCAACCTAACAGACTGACATACAAATGAACACGGCCAAGATACCAAGTTTTCAAAGGATTAGTGTTTTACTTTAAAGCTTAGTCTGAATTTACAGAAGACCATTCTTAGGTCCATATAATATGTACAGCTAGTTACATAGAAGCATGACCAGTATCAATTATCTGGAATGCATACTGGAATTCAGTTGGGCATCATCTTTATTTACACCATCCAGACATGCAACTCCCTGCCAAGATACAAAAACAGAGCTACACAAGTTTAGACTTTAACGTGTCAGGCCCACTTCTTCTGCTTAGACCTCAGCCGCATCAGTTTGTCCTTCCATGATGCTGTCGAAGTCAACAGATAAATCAATGAACCTTCCATAGAAGTACCACATCTAGGTTTAAACTAATGATAATTACTCTTCAAGATCAATGTGTTTCTTCAAGATCAATGTGTTTTGTTCCTTTGCAGAACATGGTTGCAAAGTAAAAGAGATGTGATGTTTGTTCAGCATTCAGACAGTTTTGATAAGACAACATTGGGTGGAATCATTGTCAGACACTCAATGTGGAGTCCTCGATGAACTGAATGAATACATAAGACGAATGGATCATTACCAGCATCCTTGTATCTCTCTTCGATGGCTGCAATGAGCATGTTCCTTACCAATCCAAACTCTTGAGCCTCCACACATGGCTGTCCATCAGGTCTAACAAAGTTTGCAATCCATCAGGTAAAAAAAGACTATCTGGCACAATTGTGGTGTAGTGTTGAGTCTCCACACATGGCTGTCCATCAGGTCTAACAAAAATGCAAGTGTAAGAAAAAGGGCACAGTGACCCCCTGCCAGTGATTAGTATCACCGGACAAGTTATTCCCACTCCAATAATATTTCTGATCGTCAAAGTTTGCAATCCATCAGGTAAAAAAAAAGACTATCTGGCTGCAGTTGAGGACAAAAGGGCACAGTGATTTGCATGTATTCACTGGCACAAGTTTTGAGCAAGAAATCTATGGCCGTGATGATGATGGGCCAAACCAGTACTTCAAGAAGTTCGGTAGCTGGTGACCGGTGAGTTTGAATATTTTTGACCAACTGAAAGGAATAGTATATAAAAAAACACAAAAGCACATATAAGAGCTAGAGCATAATGTTTATTTTCTAAATAACTTTTCCAATTGCTAATTTCATGCTGTGGAAACACAGAAACGACTGTGTGTTCAATGGCGTTTCTTCAAGCCTAGTTACAGCCCTTTGTCTTGCTGGGGAGGAATCTCAGCTTTGGTGCACGGCATGAGCTAAGGGGCTCTCTTTCCTTACTGCTCCTAGCTTGGGTTTTTAAGTTCGTTGGGTTGGGTCGTTCTTTGTCTTCAAAGCGGCAGTTATAGCTTATCATGACAGTGGGGTTGTATAACTTCACCTCATGTTTAGCTAGCTAGTGAGACGTTACGAGGAGGAGGAGGAGGAGGAGGAGGAAAGGAAACAACAGCAGGCCATCGTCTCACAATTGTGCAGGTGCAGGTGTGGCATCAGGTCTAACAAAAATGCAAGAAATCTATGGTCAGCCATGTGTTAGACCTGATGGCCAAAGTTTCTGATCGCCAAAGTTTGCAATCCATCAGGTTTCATTGAAGTGTAAGAAAAATTAATATACAGATTCATAGATTGGCATTCTGGATCTTAAATGCACAAAATATACTCGAATATAAGAAACCACTTTGTCAGATATATCAGTGAAAGGTCTAAGGAACACATCGATTCATCAATTGAGGGCAATAAGTTGCAGGGCAGATAACAAGGTAGAAACAATAAGTTGCAGGGCGGATAAACAACAACAAAGCTTCTTAGACCCAAGCAAAGTTGAGGGCGGATCAACAAAAATATTAAAAAGAAATCCTACAAGTATTGTATAAGTCTTACTCGCCTTGTAGAATACATGTCAAGCTCAGTAAATAACAACCCATCGGATAAGCCAAACTGCTCGCCATTCTTGCTGGCTCGACTGGTCTGATGCCATCACTGTATGCAAGACTTCTATGGATTTGTACAGGAACCTATTCTTGCCAAGTGAAACAAGAATGACATAAATATGGAGAATAAAAAAGTTTCACATGTATGCATGACAAATGAACCCACACTACCATCAAATGTTTCTCAAAGATTAAAGCAAAACACAAATAAACAAGAAAATGTGCACACATTTACATGTCACTTTGGAGGACTAAGATAGTAAACATGGACAGCATTTGGAGTAGATTATCCAATAGATTGAATTGGTTCTTTGTTTTCATACAAATAGCTCTATGTAACAGGTGACTGAGTGACTGAAAAACAAGGAAAAGCTGACACAATCCATCAATGTTCTGGAATGATTAGACCTTACCTCAACTTTCCAACATATGAACTGCTTCTTGGGTGCAGATCATCATAGTCATAAGAGATGATATATTATGTATGTGCTCCTTGTCTGAACCTTCGAGCAGCCAAAAGAAACTTACCTTTATCCGTTAGCGCTGCCAAGAGAGCAAAATAAATTAAATATCACATGAAATTGCAGTCAAGAATTCTAGACGAAGTGTAACTTCATTGCTACAATCTCTAGAACAAGCTTATTCAGATCGATATGGCAGGGAATAAGAGATCAACTAGACTATTGTGGATTCAAGTTCCCAAGCCATAATGCCTCTACATACCATACTTGTGAGAAACTGTAACCTTATTTATACAGTGAAATAGCGAATCATACACTTGACAGGACCCAGTATTTCAACGTTTTCTTGCTTTCGCAGATCATAAGTTGAACTGATTATGTGAGTGGAAATGGATCATGCAGAGTTTCCAAAAACTCCATTAGCATTGCAAAATCATCTACTTCACAAGCTCTACTATGAGGTTGCTTGGTTTTTTGGTCAGGTACCGTTTGACCTTGCT